AGACCGTTGCGAAATATGATTATGGATAAGACATGTATGCGTTGCATATTTATTCTTCAAGACACATGCTCATTCTTATGAACCTTCTTACATTATCATTACTCACTGAGCCTTGCTCACTTCATATTTATATAAATTTATGTAGGTGATCAGCTCAGAGGCCAACCCTAGGTCAACTTCAGGAACTTTTGATGGACCTATTTTGTTAAGCCTCCAAAGTTGGAGCCTTTTGTCTTTTTTTTTTCTTTTTTTTTTTTTTTTTTTTTTTTTTTTTTTTTTTTTTTTGAGGTGTTCCTTTGATGCCACATTTTTGTTAAGTCTTTGGTGGTTTTTATTGAACACTTGGTCAATATGTAATTTTTGGGCTTCTAACTCTTTGCATATAGCTACATGAGTTGGACTTGTATATATATGAACTGTGTATGTGAACTCTCTATATATGACTTCATGTTTAAAATCCTGGCATATAAGCACTGCTCAATGGATGTTCTGTTATTTTATTTAGTTTCACTCAGGCCCTGTTATGATAAGTTCTTGGTAATTTTGCCTGAGGCCGTAAGTAATCAAGAGGTTACTGGCCAGTCATGATCCAAACTTTTAGGGGCGGGTTTGGGTCGTGACAGAGATAGTAGGTGGTGAAACTCTTGGATTTCAGGCCACATATGGTATAACAGTATTGGATGTCGGTAAGGGTCATCCTACCGTTATGCCGGTAGCATAGCTCAGTAATTCCATTGATGATTCATAATGTGTTTATGTCTAATTGCATGGGGTTCACAAAATAAAAGTGCATAATTTCTCGAAATAAGATGTTAAGTGGGAATGTGATTCCACCCTATACTGTGGATACCACGGGAAAAGACATGTAGTTATCTGAGGCATGATGAAGTCATTCTCACTCGCCAGACGTATCTGGACATTAGCTGGGATGTTGAACTCTCAGTGAAAGTTTTTGATTTTGGTAGAGGTATCAACTCTTCATCTATGCATACCTATGATGTGTTCTTGGAGTTCTTGATGGTTATATTTAGCCTAGGGTTTGGAAAATTCTTAGAGTCCTAAGTTCTAGGAAGTCTGCTAAAAGTTTGGAAAATCTCGAGTTTTATGGCTAAAATGTAGATTCAAACCTAGAATGAGAAAAAACAGAGGTAAATATGTAGGAAATTTGAAGAAAACTAGAAAAATGAAGAATGATGAAGATCAATGAAAAACAGGTTCAAGAAACTTGAAAACCAAAATTGAAACTAAGGGTTTGGGGGACTTACAGATCGGTAATGGAGAAATGGACGCCAGATTCGAGTTCACCGGAGAAAAATGAAGCCTTTGAGCGGAGCTGAAAATTAATTCTGTCGTCGGAAACGACGAATGGAGTAATTGCAGTGGTAGAGATTCGAAGGTGCAACAATGGAGGTTAAAGAGAGAAAGTCTAAGAAAAGAGAAAGTTAGGAATATGAAAAGTGGGAAGCTGAAGGGGTGGAGAGGAGTTTTGGTGAAAGAGATGGCGGCAAATGAAAATAATTTAAATTTCTTGAGAAACATGCAATGGTTGATGTCAGCTGACGTCAAGTCAAGCGATATGTGTCAGTGAAAGGACGTGTTGGGAACCAATAAGGAGTTGACACGTCATTGGTGCAGGTATAACGATTAAGGTTGCTTTGAGGTGACAGCTTTCGAATTTTGGAGTTCTTGAACTAGAGAGTCATGATCTCGGATAGTAGTGTGATCTTAGTTGGCATGATGAGCTAGGACAAGAAGAAGCATCTGGGTTCTATGTTTTTTTGTAACTTCTTGTTTCTTGGAAGCCGACGAGTCATGATCTCAGTCGGAAAAACATCTCCTAACATGTTATTTAGTCGACATGTTGGGAGGTCTGACAATATAGGTTTGATCACCTTAGTATGGTTTAGGTAAAACCTAGTGGGCAGTTGTGGCGACATAATTTTGGGTTGTCCATGTGGCCTAGGTTATTAGTCGAGGTGCTACGTGGGTGGTTTAGGATTGCCGAGTTATGATGCGATCATACCAGAATCTAAGATATTCGAATAGATGACAAGACTCCTAGATGATATCAGACTACTTGTTTGGGTAAGGTTAGACTCTTGTGACAATTGATCTTAATCTAAAGTGGAAGAGTCTTAGATAAGTGATATCTTATAAAGGACAGAGTGCTATGAAGTAAGACTTCTAAGGAAAAGTGGCCACTGTTAGCTATATAAAGACGGTACCCCCATGGGTTTAAGGTACGTTCTAAACTAGTGTGTTATTTTGAACCGATATCTTTGAGAGATAGTTGATTGGTTTGATCGTCGGAGTATCTCCGGGTAGACAAGCCGTCAGTCTTGTGGTCTTCTTATGTGCAGGTGTTGGACTTATTTATTCTTACGTGTGCTCTACGAATTAGTTCCCAAGATCTCGACGAAGAGATTCAATTTGATTAAAATTCAACACCCACAGTTTTCATGACAACAATTAAACCAAACATGACTATCAATAAAACTGTAGAGAAATTAAAGAAACATACAAAAATCAATGATCAATAGCAATGGCATTGTCTTTTCCATCATGCTTCGTCCCTACACCTCTCAACCCGTCTTGGACGAGTTTCCTCCACTCCAATAAGAAAGAGGGCTAGGGACGGGTTTCCTCTCCTCATCCTCTTCTATCTCTCTCGCGCGTCAATTATATTTATTAAATATATTTATATATAAAATTTAAATTTCTTACATAGAATAAAATATTACCCTTAAAAACTCATTTTCACATTTTTATTTATCATTTTATATCTTTTAAATCTCACCACTTACAAATTATTATATGTAACCATATCATCTTGCATTTTATTAATACCACCATTCAAAAGGTTATAAAATTAGCCAATTGTTGTCTAGCTCTTGCCTCGGCCTTACTAACTCGCCGATTTGTCCCATCCCCAATATGATTAAAGATAGAGGTAGGGGCACCACAAAACTTGTCTCTTCCCACCCAACCTCGTCTCGTTGTCATCCCTAAGGATTAGGTAATATGTGTGAAAACAATACCTTTTTCTTTTCTGTTGGAAAAAATGGTTTTTTGGTGACTTTGATTAAATATTAAAGTGGGTCCCAACCATCTATTGTGTTGGGTCCAAGTGCGTCTAGATACTTTGCATTGAGATCTTTACACCACAGATAGAATGGCCAAAAACCATTGAGATTTGAATGAGAAATTACCTCATGAAGTTAACTTCATGGAAAAAAGGTAATGAACTTTGTAACTCCTGCATTTATTACAGAGTTTAATAGAGCATTAATGGGGTTTGTAACTCCTGCCTTTATTGCAGAGGTTAATGGTGCATTATGAACAGCCATAAAGGCTGGAGGCTCTTCCTCTCTCCCCTATACATGTATAAATTGAGACCCTCCTGTCAAGTCTCAAACATAGAAATTGTTTCTTCCATTCTTTAGTCAGTTTGCCAAAAAGTTCCTACTATGAGAGAGTGCTGCCACTGTTTTGTTCGCTAAGATAGACAGATAGTGCTTCTGTCGTAGCTGGTTTTGACCGTCGTATCTTGGGAGACAGACGCCGGGATTCCTCAAGCACTCGACCTGTGAGGCGGCAAAATCTGTTTTAAGGAAACTGCTACCGTGCAGGCTTCGGTTTCGTTTCTTTACCCTTTTATTATTTTGTGTATTTATGTTGAAATTTAGTTGTAATTATCTGCATGTGTTCTTGGTATATAATTTGATTTTTTTCATAAATCTATTTATTTAATTTCACTAGATGAACAACATTTTCATCTTATTTACTAACTTGCTTTCTTTTCTTCCCTTTTATTTTAGAAAGAAATTCAATACAGTGGGACAGATAAAAAAAATTACAAAAATATATGGGGTACAAGTGGTTTTGTGATGGGGTGCAAATGAAATGTTATGGAGATGCAAATGTGACTTGTACTCCTCCATGTTTGTGTTTAAAAAAAATACTAGAAATCCCAAAAGTTTTACCAAAATTTTTACCAAATGTCTTATATGGGTGTGGGATCCACACTATGTGGATTCCATATGGGTCTCATACTCATATGAGACATTTGGTAAAAATTTTAATAGAACTTTTAAGATTTCTGACATTACTAAAAAATTCTCACATTAAGATATATTCCCTTTTATTTTATGTTTTACACACAAATACTATAAATCATTTATTATTTTTTGTCATCTTATGCATGGTTGGTTGAATAAAAATTAATTTTCACAACCATTATTAGTAAATTATTAAAAGCACTTTTAATCCAAAAGATAATGGTTGAATTATCGACTAGAATAACTGTCCTAATATCCAAATCTACATTAATCTTTATAAATAAATAAATTATTAGAGCAATGCCCAAGAGACAAAAAAAAATTACGCCCTTTATCCCAAAATAATGATCCCTTTTGGAGAATCTAACTTTTTTTGGTAGTATAAGTATTGCACTTCCAAAAAATTGATTTTTCAAAATTACCCTTTGATTGTACATTTTTTTAGGAATATCAATGTCATAATTATACTTTTTATATTGTTAATGAATTTAAAAGAATGGCAAAATAGCAAATTTATATTATTTTTGTACTTAATTTTTAAAAATGGACTAATATTTTGGGACAATGAAAAATAGAATAAGGAACTGATATTTTGGGATATAGGGAGTATCAAATATTCACATGAGTGTAGGTCCCACTCACATGAACATGAGTGTGGGTCTCACAATTATGTGAGTGTTTGGTAAATTTTTTGATAGAAAATTTGGAGTCTTTTGTATGATTTGGGAATATAAATTGTGATCTCTCTAATGCTCTCCTGAATGATTTGGGAATATAAATTGTGTCAACACTAAAATTTGTCACTACAACACAATTTGGAAATAGGAAAAAAAAAATACTTGCAAAGAAGTCTCATAGAATTTCAGATGGCTAATGAGAACCATAGAGATTTACTTTCATGCCGTATATTTGTGTTGGTAGCTATCATGCACATGCTGAACCATGGATGTGTTGAAGGCAAACATGTTGTAATCCAAGATTATTTAAACTTAAAACATAAAGGAACAATCAAGACCATAGAGGTCGATTTCAAACAAAAGCTCTTCCTTCTTCTTTCCTTCTCTCCCCTCCCTCTTTTTTTTTTCTTTTTTTTTTTTAGCTATAAATATTCAGAGATTTAGGGGATTAATTGTTTATTTGATTTTATTTTTAATTTTTGGCAGAGTGAAGATGGTGATGTGATTGACTGCGTCGACATTTACAATCAACCTGCATTTGATCATCCACTTATAAAGCATTTACAGGTTTTTTTTTTTTTTTTTTTTTTTTTTTGGGGGGGGGTGCGTAAGAATAGAGAATGATAGATTGTGAAACCAGGATTTAATAAGCCACAAAGACTTTTGTAAAACAAAGTATAACGCAGCAGGATAAAAATTATAGTCATACCTTTAGAACAAAGTTTGAATTGAAGGATCTAGTGGGTAAATCACGTGCTTCCTGAATCTGATCAGTGAACCTAGCAATGGAGTGATATTACAATAGTGAATATCACCCACACAAATCACAGTGCAAATGGCTTTGATCGTTGGTTTTGGGAGAGTCAATATATGGGAAAAAGCTCAAACATACGTTGTTTTTCTCTTAATCACCCATATCTCATATTATCAGATACTCCCTTCGTCCCAAAATAATGGTTCCTTTTGGATAATCCAACTTTTTTTTGATAGTACAATTATTATATTTTAAAAATATTAATTTTTCAAAATTACTCTCTGATAGTACATTTTTAAGAATATCAATTGTCATAATTGTACTTTTTGTATTATTAATGAATTTTAAAAAAGGGCATTACATTATTTTATTCCTTGATTTTTGAAAATGGACTAATCTTTTGGGACAATGAAAAATAGAATAAGGGACTAATATTTTGAGATAAAAGGAGTATTATATTTAAGGAGGTTGGGAGAAAGGGAGTATTATATTTAAGTATTATATCCCTCCACTTCCTAATTTTTTATTCCACTGGAACAAAGATGGAACCTAGCTCATCTCCAATTGGAATGAAAATGGATGACTCTCAACCCAAGCTTATTCAGAATTGGCATAAAAATGGGGAGTGCCCACAAGGAACAATCCCCATTAGAAGGACTCAAAATCATGACCTTCATCGAACTTTTCCATCTCACTGGCAAGGAGGACAACATTACTACCCCTTTGGGCAAGAACTAGGTGATCATGAGGTACAATTTGAACTTAATCTAAACTTAATGCCTATCTGATGTTTACTCAAAATACAAAACATTTAGCAAAATTTTGTGCATTAATTTATCTTTTGTTTCATTTTAGTATGCCGTTGTTTTTGAAAGGGGTAGTACCTACCATGGAGCGCACGCATCATTTAATGTGTGGAATCCTAACACAGAGGCTAATGAATTTAGCTTATCTCAAATTTGGCTTATGTCTAACGTAACAACCTTGAATACTATTGAAGCTGGATGGATGGTAAGTGTTAACTTGTTTTTGAGGCCTTAATATTTTGATACATAATCAATGACCTATTGTTTGTTGAGTCACTACATATATATTATGGCATCCTTAAGTAGACACGTTGGTGCATGTTTTTAGGTTAATCCCGGAAGGTATCTTGACAATCAGACAAGGTTCTTTATATATTGGACAGTAAGTTTCCTTAATTTTCTAATCCTCTATTGATTATTTAAAACTTACGATATTAATCACAACATATAACAATTTTTAACCCACATTTGATTCTCGTGTTGGTAGTGATGACATATTAATTCAACCTTACTTTACGTTCATGTGGCAAACAGAGAGATAACTATCAAAGCACGGGATGTTATGATCTTGGATGCCCCGGTTTTGTACAAACAAATCACAAGTTTGCCATTGGTTCCACCATAAAACCTGTTTCCACCTACAAGGGAAAGACATTCGACATATCTATACTGATATTCAAGGTATATATATATATATATATATGCTACAATCTATTTAACTAACAACTTGTAAACCTTAAGTACGACTCAAATTATTTACTTGGAAACACTAGAAGAACATGCAGTTTTATTTTAGACTTGGTTTTTTATTTTTATTTTTAATTATTTATTTATTTTTATTCTTTTGATAACTTAGTATCAGTCCCACTAGACCAACTAATTCCAGAGATCAATCCATCATCCACAGGTGAGGGGGCCAACCAAGACAAAACTCTATATGGACTAGTCCCAAAAAAATTATTTGCACTCATAGAAGGTTTTGAACCTAGACTTTGGAAAAAACACACCCCCGGTCCCAAGTTTTGACCACTAGGTCAACTCCTTAGACTTTTTGAACAAATTATACCTACTGTTTATGTACATTGCCTTGTGTCAATTTTAATCATGATTATTACAACAATTTTATTCTTGAATTTTTTACATTATGTCAATTTAGTCTAATTGATTATGTCCCTTTAAAAATTAAATTGAAAACTAGGAACAAAATAGTTCATTCAATCTTCTTATTATGATTGAGAGATTGACGTCCAATTGAAAATAGTCTATTTCCTTTTGAATGAACCATTTGTTCTTGATTTATGTCCAATTTCTACTACATGTTATCAATTGGACTAAAATGACACCACACGATCAAATTGACACAAGATAAATTACAAAAATCATAGGTATAATTTTTCCAGTTCTTTACAAAAAATTATATGGTAAAATGCATTTTTTACACCAAAATTTTCATCTAATTTCATTTTAGTACCTCATCTTTTAATTTAAACAATTAATGTTCAAACTTTAACTTATGTTTCAATGGCGTCCTCTTGACACTTACAATTTCAAATTTGTATGAAAAATGCTCACGTCAACACATTTTACAAACATTAAAAGAAAAAATCCATATGACAAATCGCACGTTCATCCATAAACTTTCACTTAGATTCTACTTTGGTTCTGAATTTGTAACTTAAATCAAATTTCAAATGCAGGAGTAATAGGAGGATCCTATTGAAACACGAGTTGAAATCAGATGATTTAATTGTTACAATTAGAAAATGTAGGATAAAAGTGAAATTTGACTGAAAGTTCAAGGTTCAAAAATGTAGTTTACCAAAAAAGTATATGAAAAATAAACAAAAAGGGGTGCAAAGATCTGTACCATCTTCAAGAATATATAATTTTTTTGATGAATTATTGTGTCGCTCAAGGTGTCATACTTTTCGAGCAATGAGAGCAATTTTGTTGTTTCCTTGTAGTGCTTAATTTAAACATAGTGAAATAAGTCCATCCAAACTATCTGATTTTCCTATATTAATGAAAAATGTATTAGGACAACAACACTGGAAATTGGTGGCTTCAGCTGCAAGATGTGGTATTAGGTTATTGGCCTGGTTCCATCTTCACAGGCTTAGCTGACAGCTCTACGCTAGTGGAATGGGGAGGAGAGATCATCAACTCAAGATCAGCACAACATCACACAACCACTCAAATGGGGAGTGGTCATTTTCCCTTCGAACGATATGGAAAATCAAGTTTTTTCTATAATCTTAAAGTCATTGACAACTCAAACACTCAGAAAGATCCAGCTTCCCTTCAACCATATGTTACAAATTCTGCATGCTATGATTTACATGTCGAGGCAAACAAAAATACTGATCTCGGAACTTATTTTTACTATGGGGGTCCCGGATATTCTGCAAAATGCCCATGATGATCAGCAAATTGATGTATTAAAGAATAAAAAACATTCAGTGGTTTAAAGTTTATATGTTAAATAAATTTTGTTTTCATTACTGGGCAGATGGCCCACCATCCAAACTTAAAAATAAATAACAACAAAGGAGTGAACAAAAGTCTAGTATCGAGATTTTTGGCATAAATTTTGTGTTCATTTTTTTCCTCTTTAGTTTGGTAAACACTATTTTTCTATTGCACTATTTCTTGCAAAAGAACTGTATTTGTAGTTTAAAACAATTTGATCGCATATATGTCTATTTGGCTATAGAGGAAAACCCAGAGCCTTTTTTAGTGAGGCCAAAACAAGCTGATAATGTACAAATTTGATTTACAGACTGATGATATCAGTTACTAGAGAGAGACCATTGTCACGCACCATAGATTAACAAGATCCAAGCCCATGAAAGTAAGAATACTAGTATGACAATACATGAAGAAATATAGAGAAATAACAAGGAGATCTAGACAATGGCAATCTGGAAGAAAACTAGCAAAATAGCCCCAGAAGCAAAGGGTAAGAACTCCAGAAGCAAACACAAACTCTCAAGTTTTAGATCTAGAAGTTGTAACCCTAGAATCTACAACTTGTGCAGCTTTATATGAAACAGGGTTGTGAAGACTGCTTGAGCGAAAGAATAGTCACTCGAGCTGTGTGTCTTAGATGTAGAGGAACCATAAGTGCCTTTGCTCAAGCGATTGGAAGTTTGCTCAAGCGAAGAATGAGATCTCTCAGTACTTTTATAGGCATGTCTGAACTACTAAGAGATAGGCTTCTTCGCTCGAGCCACCAATTCCACCCTTGAGCAGTCCAAATAAAAACAAGACACTAAAATACAACTAAAACGTTCTTTGTTCACGGAATTGATAACAGAAAGGGACCTATCAATCTTCCCCTTTGTAAATTCCCGATCAAAACAATTCTAACATTAATTCCTAACAAACATATGCACTAGACACAAACACTCCCTAACCAAACACCGTGCGAAGAAAACCACCTGCAAGAAGTATAGAATCGCACAAACACATCTAGATGATAAATGATGATAGATGATTAACATTAGCCTACTAAGCATAAAATCAATAATAAACCACAATCACAATCATGCTATCATCATGCTCCCCCTTTTGGGACTGGGAGAGAGAAAGTGGTTAAACCAAAAAAAAATAAAAAAATAAGCCCAATATACCAAAAAACATGTCCAACATAGGTAATAAACAAATATATATATATATATATGTCCAAAATATCCAAAAGCTAGAAAATACAAATAGAAAACCTGTCTATGAGGTAGAAGAATGAAAAGAATCACTGATATGGTGGACGAGGAGGTGGATCATGCTGCATCTGAAGACATGAAAGTATCTGGGCTAGTTGAAGAGAGGACCGGTCTATCGAATGCTTAATACGGCCAGCGGAGGCCTCTAAGGAAGTGAGACGGCCATCAAAAGCATCCACCAGTGTATCGAGCCGATCAAGGCGCTGGATCATAGTCTGTTCAAATCTTAGAAGCTGGCCTCGAATAGTCCGAGGGGAGACATCCTGCTCGTCATCACCAGTAATTGCAGCATCAAACTCAGCTTCCTCCGCCAAATGTTTCTTAACTGCATCAGAAGGACCTGCCCCCCGAAGACTCCCCCTTGACATGAGCCTGACTCATAGTTCTAAATCGCGGTATCGGGTAACGTAACGGTAACGATCGCGGAGTATCGGTATCGGTAGTATCGACCGGTACGTATCGGGTATCGGGCGTCGCGACTGTGAAATTTCAAAAATCATTAGCAATCCCTCTAAAACTCAATTTTATGTATTTTTTGACTCTTTTAGCCTTAATTTATCACATTTTAATCAAAATTTTGATATATAAAGATACTTTTGACTCATTTTCAACTAAATGATATGTATTTATTTTAGTCTCAAGTTTTTATCTAGCATATATGTTAAACTTTTAATTTAAAATTGATGTGGAAATATTTTTTTACTTATTTTCAATAATGAAATACTTCCACATGCACAACAAATTAATAAGAGAAAGAGGGACATGAAAATAAATCATTTGCTTCAGCCATAATTGCATATAAATATTTGAAGAATTATAAATATATATTAAAATATATCTCATTCCCATCCCATACCATAATATAAATAAAAAAATAACCACAAAAAAAAAAACAAATTATAAACAAACCGAAAGTTTCAATATATTTTTTGTATTTTTATGTATTTATTAATTTTTAAAAATATTTTTTCACAAATATTTTATTTTTTAGATATATCTAAATAAAATGCATCTAAAAAAGTAAAAAATAAAATAAAATAATTTTTTCTAAAAACAATATTCACTAAAAATAAAAAATACAAAAAAAAATTAATTTTTAACAGTACTGTGTTAAGTAAAACGGGTCCATTTTTCCAAAACGACACCGCTCCATTCCATCCCCTTCCTACTAGATGACGTGGACATATTCAGGCCCTTAGATTGTCTGCCTACCACATGTCCCAATCTCCTTCATGTTGCTGGACAGAAGAAAGCCGGAGAGGAGGCTGATCCTCTTCAGCCAGAAGAAAAAACAGAGCATTATAAATGCTCCTAATAAACAGAGCACGGGATGGGAATGTATTAATAAATACAAAAAAAAAATTAATTTTTAACAGTACTGTGTTAAGCAAAACGGGTCCATTTTTCCAAAACGACACCGTTCCATTCCATTCCCTTCCTACTAGATGACGTGGACATATTCAGGCCCTTAGATTGTCTGCCTACCACATGTCCCAATCTCCTTCATGTTGCTGGACAGAAGAAAGCCGGAGAGGAGGCTGATCCTCTTCAGCCAGGAGAAAAAACAGAGCATTATAAATGCTCCTAATAAACAGAGCACGGGATGGGAATGTATTAATTTGTTGCAGGTGCTTTTGCTCGTTTTCAGGTGCATTTTATAATTCTTGCACCTGCACCTACAAGAATTACAAAATGATGGCTTTATAAACGAAGCATTTTTTAGCCGGAGCATTATAAACGGAGCATTTTCGCAGGTGCTTTGCTCGTTTTCAGCCGTACCGGACTGTGTCGGAGCTATATCGCTCACGTATTGGGTTCAGGCCGATACGTATGGGGAATCGGCCGCTATGGACGCGAAATTCATTCTCACCGGTATACCGGTGAGTATCCGACTTGGCACTCCCATTTTCCGGTACGAACCGGCCGGTACGGCACGTACCGGCCGATATTTAGAACCTTGGCCTGACTTTAAGAGACAGTCTTTTTGGTGACTGGTTTGACAAGAAAAGAAAATTCATCGTTGGAAGAAGAGAAGACATCAAAAGAGAAAAAGATGCGCTTTATGAGACACCCATAGGGAAAACCCAAAAACTTTTTATCCTCAAACACCAAAATCATTTTTTGGACAATCATACTAGCAAGATCAATTGGAAAACAATGATCAATGCAATACAGAACATACCCTTGATCATGAGAGATGTTGGAACTGTGGGTGGTAACATGAATATTGGCACAACAATGATAAACAGAAGGTGGAAACGGAAAAGAAGTTTGTTTTGCTTGATGAGGGCCAATTCTAGGGTGTCCCATAGATTTCAATGGCAACCAAATTAAAATCAGCATTACGAGAAGCAAGAGATAGAAGTGACAGTTAGTAACAGGAGAAATACCAAGGAAAGACCGAACTAACGCCTCAGCGATTTTGATTTCTTTTGATGGGACCCTGGTTTTGAAGGAAAGGTCATATTAATCGACAGAGTGAATGTTACAGTAAAGTTCACGGATCCAACTAAGATTTTGCTGACCCAAAAATCGAAGAACACGATCACCTCCTAAAGCATCAAAGATAGGACTTAGGAATAGAATCAAACGTGTCTGGTTGGACATCTCTCTCAAGGTGGACAGTTCTAGAGTCCCTAAAAAAAATTTCTTTCCTGTTGGACTGGAATTTTTTACTATTATAAGATGGACGAGAAATAGTAGCCTTTCTCCATTTGGAAGATTCAGCCATGACTTAAACACTAAAAGACAAGGAGAATCCCACTAACAAGAGTAACACGGATCCAAGGACAACCCGAAATTCAAAGATTGAAACCACCCACCAATGGCACAACCATAAATCCCGAAACAAAACCAACGAAACCCAAATTAACCCCAAGTGCAAACAAAAAGGAACCACCACCATTAGTAACCAATAAGAAGAAACAAAAAATTAATCAATTAACAATAGGACATAATCTCATAGATTGATCAAAATAAAGCCTAAAAACCTAGAAGAAAATAGAAAATAAGATAAAATAAAATGAAATAAAAATTTAAAAAAAATTAAAACCAAACAGCCCTAGATGAAACCTAGCAGTGCAACGAAAATCAAAGGATAAAGTAGAAAACTAAGATGAAAAAAAACCCCAGATGGTGGAGAGAGATAAGAAACATGAGAATAACATTAAAAAAAATCAAAATAAAGTAGAAAAAATAGAAGATCATTACCAATGAGTAATGAAAATCACTTAATGTGGCTCGAAACCACTCCAAATCGAGGAGAGAAGACACGAAGAGAGGAAAGGGGTGAAATTGCCCTAGTAAGAGAGAGCATGAAGAGGTTTTGGGGAAAAATGAAACTGAAAGGATGGTCGACAGGCTTTAAAACTGCACAGACTGCCCGAGCAACCACTTCATCGCTCGAGCAAACTTACTAATGCGCGTGGTGATCACTGGAGACAAGACTCCACTGCTCAAGTGCATAAAAGTCTCTCTCAGAAGTTCAAACACTCTGCAAAAAAAAAATAGATGATGCCATTCATCGCTCGAGTGCAAGAAACACGGCTCAAGTAGTGTCAAAACTCAAGGAATGTTCTCAAAGTCTTGAAACACAACCCCTGAACATCCAAAAACACTTATAAAACAAACTATCACCTGAAACTAAAATATATGAGTACCATTGCAATAATGTGAGACTAAGATGAGATAATCCACA